AATTGCTAGATCGCCATGAAAACATGCAAAACAGTGCACCCCTTAGTAAAGTAGGACTGGAAATCTTTGTCCCTAATGAAGGAAACCATAAATAGCAAGAATCTGATTGCGAATAGGAGCAATTCGGAGAAGGATTCGGAGGTCCGAATCAAGAGCTAGTCGTGTGGAGTCGAACCTAGGAGCTTCGTGGCAGTCTCGACACCTTGCGTGAAGGTGTAGATTTCCTTCATGTCGAACATCATCAGCGCGCCACTTCCAAGGGCGCGCGATCAAGGGGTGGAGGAGGCAGATGACGATGAAGACCGATGACGAAAATGCCCGCGATGCAGAGGAGGATGACGACGAAGACGACAACATTTGCCTTCATCGGAAACGACGACTACTCCACCCACTGTCGAACCGTCTCCATCTCTGTTCGTAATGATGAATGGTTTCCAGATGAGAAATGTTCCATATTTTACCGTACCTGGGTGAATTTAAAAATCGTTAAATACCTAATTTGGTCTCTCAACTTTCATTTTTGGACCAAGTTCGTCCCTAAACATTAAAAATTACCAAGATCATCCTTAAACTTCATTTTTCCGTTACTAACTTGATCCTTCCGTCAACAGAATTGCCAGATGTCACGTTAACTTGCCATGAATTAACAATTTTAAAATTTTAAAAATTACATGGAAAAAAAAAAGACTATATTTTGATGATTTGGCATAATTTTCCTCCACGTATGACTTTTCATGTTTACTAAATTAAAATTCATGAAATTACGTAACTACCCTACATCTCATTCTTCATATTCCCCGATGTCCCTTTTTCGTCCATGTTTCTCTTTCTTCCTTCTCCGATGTTCTCTTCATCCCTCTCCCTCTCTTTCTTCATTCCTCTCCGGCCAACACAGCAATATCCTTGCCAAAAGACTTTGTGGTTTATGGGTTTTCCTCAGCGAATGGTATCATTATCCATACAGGAGAGGTCGTCGTGGATTGCCCAAACAAGGACTGCCACCATCTCTTAATACCCTCAGTACCCATGGTAATGAAACCATCTAACCCTCTTTATACGAATTCAGTTCTAGATTTTAGAATCTCTCTCTCTCCTCCCTCATTTTCCTTTTTTGATTAGGATCTGGATTGCCAAACCCAGATTGAACCTAGACTGGGTTTTGAACTTTGTGTGTGGTATGGAGAACCCAGATTAGCTACTGTAGTCTGCATATAGGAATCAATCAAACCCAGATCTGGATTGCAAACCTTGCATGGAATCAATTGAAGCCTTCAAGGACAGACTGCAAGGCTCGATTGTTATAGCTGACTTAGGTCTCGATCTGCCACGAAATCCAAATATCCATTCAGAGAAGATAAAGATTAGTTTTGGATTGTAGGTTAAGGATCTCTGGGATTTGTGAATATTTAAGAATATGGTTTTTCAATTTTTGTTCTCGTGGAAATTCTTTGATTTGGTATGTGTGAACTATCAATTTTGATGGTTTAGTGATGCTGAGAACTAGAAATATGAAGAAATTGGTTTTTCTAAGATTGTGATTCTAGTAAAATTGTTGAGTTTTATATGTAGATATGTGAGAGAGGAGCATTGAGGATGAAAGGAATTTGTTTATGCTGGAGCTTTTTAAGAAACCCATATTCTGATCTGGGTTTTCCTCCGAAGAAGGCGAAGATGAGTTCTCCGGTGGTGAACCCAGATCGAAACCTTGATTTTCCAAAAAAAAAAAAAGTTTTAATTATGAGTTTATTTCAGCTTAATTAGTATTAAATATATAATAATCAAAGTCATTTAATATTTTTAGACATCATCAAAATGATTTAATTTAATTTAAGAAAAATGGGTCCATTTAGATCAAAATGTTGCAATATGGATATTAATATAATGTCCAAGTCAGCAATACATGCTCGTTTTCTTTACATGTCATCATTTAAATTTAAAAAGTTAAAATTCGTGGCAAGTTAATGTGACATCTTGCAATTTCGTTGACGGAAGGATTGAGTTGGCAACAAAAAATTGAAGTTTAAGGATGATTTTGGTAATTTCTAAATTTCAGGGACGAACTTGGTTCGAAAGTGAAAGTTTAGGGACCAAATTAGGTATTTAACCATTTAAAATTTACCCATAGCTTGATCTAGTTGCGTTATAGTTGGTTGGAGTGATATAGTTGGTTGGAGTGAGATGGACATTAACGATGTTAACGGTGTTAACAATGTTTGTAGGAGATTTGTTAACTATGTTTGTAGGAGATTTGACAGAAATTAGTTTTTTATTCAATTGGGACCTTATTTGATAATTTCGTGGAGTTTGGGACCTTAATTGAGTGCAATTGAAGTTCTGGTCCTAAATTGCAAATTTTGTGTAAGTTCGGGTTCTTATGTCATATTTTTGCCCTCTATAATTATAACATATCATTACATATAGGAAAATGGTAAGGTTACCCTCCATATCTACACCCTCCATTACACATATTCAATTTATTGAATAAAATAAAATTCAATTGGATTTATCATACGTTAAAATTTATCCTCACTTAACTAAGACTACCATTCGGCATCCAGTTGCTCATTTTAAATTCCTATTAGGTGGTTATCGCTTGGAACCCAAGATTGAAACGATACTAACCTTCATTTTCTAAGATTGCCTTTCCCTAACCTCCATTTTCTTTTATCCCCGACCTCCATTTTCTTTGAAACAACACCAACCTCCATTTTCATTGATTACCCTTCCTTGACCTCTATTTTCTCCAAAATGGCCAGACCATGATCTACCACCGACCCTACTTTCACATTCATTCTGTCTTGACCCATGTTGGACAAAGCTAAGGTCGAGGCCTCTTGAGTTTTGTGGGTTTTTCAATTTTGGGGATTTTCAAATATGGGTTTTGTTCCAATTTTGGGGATTTTCATATTGGGTTTTGAGGGGGAGAGCTAATGGTAAAACAAAATGGGAGAAAGGGATGGATTCAAGTAGAATTTGATTGAAGAACAAAAAGAGGAAATCCCCTCCACATTCATTTTAGATCTAGGGAGAAAGAGACTTGAGTTTTAGGGATTTTGATCTAGGTTTTGAGGAGGAGAGTTGGTGGCAAAACAAAATGGAAAATTGTAATTAAAGCTAATGGTGGACCAATTTAACCTTGGGTTTCCTCCATCTCAGCTAAAATGAAATCTAGACAACCCTAGCAAATTTTTTAATTTTATTTTGCATTTTTCTAATTTCTTAGGAGTTGCTTGAAATGTCTTTTCGATTCTTTATGAATTGTTGGAAATGTCGAATGGGTGCTTTGAAGAAGATAGATTGTTGGCAGCATCAAGCAATGTCCAACACCTTTTTTGGCTGGATGTTTGCTTCTTACAGTAATGTTAGCAAGATTAAGAAACCGAGTGGTCTTTAGAGTCGAAAAAGATGGAGAAGTTTGCGACACAAAATTATTTAATGTTTGCTTCTTACATGAATGTAACAAGATTAAGCTTCTCTTCAACTAATTCTAAATTGTAAAATATTTATATTTTATTTAGTATGTCACGAAAGGTGATGATTGACGATGTGTACCAATTATGATCCCTATATATATATAATAATGTAAAAATTTCACACATTTAAATTTCATATATTATTGTTATTTATTTGTGTTAAAAAATTATTTCATCAAGTAATTTTGTATATGTAATAAGTAAAAATGCCTTTTGTACTCCAATAATAAATAAAAAACCGTACATAAAGTTTTGCATATTTAAACTAAATGACTTGAAAGTTTCACACACCTAAACACAATCTTCTCCATATACTGCAATACATCCTAAAGTAATTTTCTCAGAAAGTACCTTTGGACAACTACTTTGCAATGCTCCTCTGAGTCCTGAATATATATAATAATGAAGCATAACAATAAGAAAAAATAATACAACTAATACGCGTCTTTTGGATTGATATTAATCAATCTAAAGATCATTGCTTCGGTAATGTTCCCGCGGTTGAACTCGATCACTTCAAACTTAAAGAAAAGTGGAGAGAAATTAATACAGGGAAACGGGTGGTGCTACAAATTATATGGTAAGTCCCATTCATCGAAAAGACAGGGCGTTGTCAATCCAATCAGTCTGGACTAGTTCCCTGCAGCATGGATCTTGTAAGATATACAAAAAGAATTTAGTCTTGATATATGGATCAATTAATTTCTCACCTCATCCGGCTTGGCTTGGTCATCAGCTTTCTCCAAAATCAATCCAAAATTAATGTGTGGGAAGCGTGCCCACTAATGAGGACAAA